TTGTCTTGTGCGATTTGCACGGCAGTCCTCGGCTGCATTGGCTCTCCTTCAGAGCCTGCCTTGCGGGCATCGACGAGCTTTGCAGCCTTCTTGACTGCAGCTTGCAAGCTGCGCAGGTGTCCCAGCGCTTGGGCGATGGCAGTCTTCAGCTTGACATCTGTTTGGGCTTGCACATCCATGTAGTCGGGACCCAGGCGTGCGGTCACGGACCTGTAGTTCACATACTCTTGCACCAGACCCAGCTGAAGCTCCATCCATTCGCGCGGCAGGAGCTGCGCAGAACACATTCGGTGACACATGCTCTTCATGCTCATGAGCTCCTTGCCCAACGCTTCGACATTGGCAAGGTCGAGCTCCGCAAAGACCTCCCGCAGTGCGGAAAAATGCATGAAGATGGCAGGAGGCAACAAATGAACCGGAGGTTGAAGATACACTGTCACTGCACTCGCTACTCTCGTCTAGTCTACGAACTACGAATACTATTACGAGGACACTACGACACTACGACACGACGATTGTGACTATGAACTTCGGGCGCAACCAGAACATAACAGTGCCAACGGGACTGGATACGGGCGGATATCCGCTGCCAACCCAAATTCCCAACATCCTTCCGGAAACAAACAACCAGAATCCAGTAGCTTCGAGGTCCCAAGTCCGGCCCTACATCCTGGGGTCACAGGTGCTCTGCACCAGCGCCTATCATCTCTATGACACGATGACACTGCTGCACCTTGTCGTGCAGCTGCAGAAGCATGACAGCCACGGGCTCAATGAGCTGTATCTTCAACTCATTCGGGGAAGTTTCGTCGAAGGACAACAGCTGCACGATCTTCTGGAACATTCCGAAGCTGAAAGCATCGCTATCCTGCATCACGTTTGCGTGGAACTGCTTCAATCGCACCTGGCGTATCACTCCTTCATTCTCCTCCTTCCAAGCATTGAGTCGTCTCAACGCGTCCGCGTACTTCAACCCCGGCTCCGTGTCGCCGTCCTCCATTCCCACGGCGTGGTTGAGGATCTTGTGGATGATCTCGAGGTCGATGTGTGCGGCATGCTGTTCCTCCGGGCCCATAGCCAAGACTGCGTCCGTGAAGGCCACGATGTGGTCGAGCATCACGCCTTCCAACTCCATGGTTGCACCGGGGCGAAGCAGGGGACCTCGCTCCAAGCAGGCAGTGTATGCTGCCTGCAAAGCGATGAACTTCTGCTCCGCGCCGACAGCTTGGCACACATTCTCCGCACACTTTTGGAGAACGGGGGCCGATTCACGATCGGCGGATGCAGACTTCTCTGCAGCCTTGATTTTCTCCTGCCACCAGCCTTGCGTACGAAAGATCTGACGGACCTCAGCCTCCAGGAAGTCAGAACCCAGATACTTCAGCAACTGCTGCACATGGCTGATGTCGGCAGCCATCGCCAAAGGGACGG